ATTGTAGTAGCACTCCAAACAATTTGTTCAGTGAACAAAACCTATGTTCTAAACTCTATGAATTTTTCCTTAAAATAATATAAGAATAATGCAAACAGATAAAAATCTAGATAGCAAGAAAATGTATTTTTCAGACTGTTTTTTCAGATCAGAACACTGTTGAAAAATACTGTTATATATAGGCAAATTGCAGACCCGAACAGGTATGTTTTTGAACTTGAACAGGTGTAAAACCTTTAAACAGATGCAATTTGAAAACTGGATAGATTTGAACCTGTATTGAACAGATACAGTTACAGTTTTGAACCTGTAACTGCTGGATAGTTTCTGACAGTTTATCTGTTGGAATTTCGGACTGCAAGAGGCAAAATTATAGACAGAAAATTTGAATTCAAATTTAGTGCAAAATTTGAATTAATTTCCCGCAAGAATTTTTGAAAAAATTCAAAAGAATTTTGTCTAAAAAATTAACATTAGAACGGACCTGACTCACAATCCATACCCGGGCCCGGCACGACACAGCTTGGCCGGCCGGTCGGACGGACGACGGCTGCGGTGCGTGCGTGTGGTGGTTTGGGCTAAGGTCTACTTTGTCCATAACTCCTCCCTTCTACAAACTTGGGGTGCCCATTCGGGCCAATCTTCTGTATAAAAAATAAATTGAAACCAAATCAAACAAATAAAATAAATAACTTACTGAATTTATTTTACGAAACCGAATGAATAATAAAAAGATCAAGTCAAGTGTGTGACACTCTGTCCTTAAGACAGATTCGCCCCGCTACGATGTTTACGGACACACAATTTGTTCGACGAACAAAACCTGTGTTCTAAACTTTCTGAATTTTTTCCTAAAATAATATGAAGAATAATGCAAACAGATAAAAATCTGAATAGCAAGAAAATGTATTTTTCAGACTGTTTTTTTCGATCAGAACATTGCTGGAAAATGCTAGTATATATAGGCAAATTGCAGACCCGAACAGGTATGTTTTTGAACTTGAACAGGTGCAGTTTGAAAACTGGACAGATTTGAACCTGTAACTGAACAGATACAGTTACAGTTTTGAGCCTGTAACTGCTGGACAGTTTCTGGTAGTTTATCTGTTGGAATTTCGAACTATAAGAGGAAAATTATGGACAGAAAATTTGAATTAATTTCCAGCAAGACTTTTTGAAAAAATTCAAAAGAATTTTGTCCAAAAAATTAACATTAGAACCGACCCGACTCTGACCGGATGGCGGCGGCGGTGCGCACATGTGGTGGTTTATGCTAAGGTCCACTTTGTCCATAACTCCTTCCTTTTACAAACTTGGGATGCTCTTTGGAGCCCAACCCGAGGTTGTATTTCTAGAGCTTATATACTTACAAAAGCTCTCTTAAAGTTTCAATGTGGGACAACTCATTTCAAAGAAACTCACATTTAATTTTTTAAATGTCTAATTCCACGAATCTGAAAACGACGTCAAGTTCCCATTCACTCATAAATGGTTTTGAAGAACCGTCTTTATCGTGTGACTTGCTATGAGGCAAGGAACACGTCACCTCTTTGAACCCACCCCAAAAGACGCTTGGGACCCACTCAAAATTGGGGTCAAAATTGGCCCAAAAGAAACATATAAAAACCAAAATTTCCAACAATTAAATCATCAAGACACTTCATATATACATTGGAGACCATATTGATATAATTTAAATATTGATTGCCAAATTGAAACACTTTTATATATTAGAGATCAAATCGATACAATTTAAACATTGATAACCCACAAGACTCATATTTTAGAGACCAAAAATATAATTAACCCAAGATGAAGCTGTTGAATGTAATTAACCCAAGAGTAATAACGAAAAAGTAAATAGTTTGGTTAATTATGCTATTGTAGAAAAGCAGCTCAAGTTGTGTTGTTTATTTGCTGAATAATTCTTTTATTCTCTGCAGATTTGCTTAAAAATGCTTTATTTGCTTAAAATGCGAGACCCTGAAAAAGGTAGATCCCCAATGGATAAACACAATAGTAAAATTTATCTCTCGCATATTTGATTTCATAGATGCTTAGCGGATAACGTATATTATTTGTAGTTAAATGAATTGAGTAAGTTTATACATATACATAAGATTGTTCACATCAGCATAGTAAAGTCCACCTCTAATAAAACCAATTCAATACTACTGCATATCTATAAATATATGTATATATATCTATATACCACAATTATTCTAAGTGTGACTCACATATCACCAAATTTAAATCTGCAACGTATACCTTATTTTCGGGAGTTATTAGTAGATAATATTTTTCAAATTATTCAATTTACACAGAAATTAATCATAGAATTGGTTGGATGCAATCTTTTCATATAAGTGTGGAGATTCAAAAAAAATGAGATCCATCTTATATGAAAAGATTGTGTCCAATTTTACGATCCTAAACTTTTTCAATACTATTAAGGAGATTAGTGAGTAAAAATACATCACGTAGCTGGTTTGTTATATGAGGAGAGGAATTTTGACAGTGGAAAAACGAAAACACAATTAATCTTTTGATGAAATGGAGAGATTCAAGTATAGTTGAATAAAAATGGATTACATTTCAGTTGTTCAATAGTGAAAAACCGTCCAAATCTAATGAAAAAAAAGGTGGGGAGGGGCGTGCTTAAAGAATCAAAGAAATTGAGAATATTCATCACTATATCATTCTCATGGCCCACATGAAGATTTGGGAACCTCGTCCAAATTCGAGTCAATCAGTATATAACTTCTTTAGATTAACCAAAAAAAGAAGTAAAGCAGACACAAATTATTTAAGATAAATTATATAAATAGTCTCTGTAATTTATACGATATGTCAAATTGATATATTGTGTAAATTATAGGGACCAAATTAATAAATTGTGTAGATTTTTTACCTACCAAACTTAACAACCGTTATTTATTGAATTAAAATAACACAATCTGTTAAATTAACAGATAAAATTGAACAAATTAAAATAATATGGATCAAATTGACACATTGTATAAATTATAAAGATTATTTACATAATTTATTCAATTATTTATTATTTATCAATCTATATATATATATATACATATATGTTATTTAATTTAATTATCTTGTAAGATTGTAAGATTGACACACAATAGTACATTTAGGCCAAGTTTGGCTACAAAGAAAAAAGTGCACTTATTTTATCTTTTTATCTTTTTGGGGTCACGATTTTTTACCTACCAAACTTAACAACCGTTATTTATTGAATTAAAATAACACAATCTGTTAAATTAAGAGATAAAATTGAACAAATTAAAATAACATGGATCAAATTGACACATCGTATAAATTATAAAGATTATTTACATAATTTATTCAATTATTTATTATTTATCAATCTATATATATATATATACATATATGTTATTTAATTTAATTATCTTGTAAGATTGTAAGATTGACACACAATAGTACATTTAGGCCAAGTTTGGCTACAAAGAAAAAAGTGCACTTATTTTATCTTTTTATCTTTTTGGGGTCACATCAATCAACATCTTCTCTCTATTTTTTTTACACATAATACAAAAAAAATTAAAAAATGTATTTATTTAATCTTTCCAAACTAGACCTTATTAAATGAGCAAATCTCTCTCTCTTTCTCTCACTCGCTCATACATACACTGACATAATAGTGATACAGCTGGGCTCTCTCTTTCTCTCTCTCGCATGCGATACAGTAGAAGACCAACTTTTAATACGCAGACCAACTTTATTACCCACTTAAGGATAATATTAGAGATTTTAATTTTTTTATAAATATTTAATCAAATATATATATTTTTTTATGGATGTAAGATTTATATAAAATTCACATAATGTGAGTTTTACACTAATGTGAAATATTTAATAAAATATTTAATCAAACATTTAAGAGCATTTTTAATGGAGTTGCTATTCAACTTGCTAAAACTAAAATTTGACAAGAATGACAAAAAGAGGGTCTCCAATGGCTTGCTATTTTACTGTCAAAGATAGCAGATGTCATATCTGTTCTCAAATTTGGCAAGTTGAATAGTGGCTCTCAAACTTGTCAGATCAACAAATAGCAAATGACTATTGGAACACCATTACTATAATTTGATAAAATAATACTATTCATTGCTAAATTATAACAATAGCAATAACATTATAGCAACAATAGTTGGAGATGCTCTAAGGTGCCTCAAAATTTTTCCCCACTTAAAAGAAGAGTTTTAGTATGGAAATATGACTTTCTTCTAGTTCGTATTAGAGGGTATTATTGGACTCGTGGAAGCTCATCACGAGTCCCGTTTCGATAATTCACACCGTTCAATATGTAGAACTCATTGAGTATTATATGCTTAAAAAAATCACTTTAATCGAATATTGATAGTTATGTGATCAAATCAGTTTTGTATGAAAAAACTAAATGGTGAAAAATAAACGGCTTACAAAAATCTAATTTGATTACATATTTATCGATATCCGATCAACGTAATTTTTTACAAGTATATATTACTCGATGAGTTCTATACATTGAACTGTTCGAATTATTGAAACAAGACCCGTAATATGAGTCTCCATGAGTCTAACAATATCTTCTAATTTGATCACAAACTGAAGGGAAGGCATCCCTTTTAGTATATCTCTCAAAACTTATTATTTAATTCTTAGCCTCCGTTTGGGAAGTGAGTTGGTTATTTTAGCCTGGGCTATTTTAGCCTGGTTTGGGAATGATTTTTTGGCTTTTTAGCTTTTTTAAATTTTTTTGTGAGAGAGGATTGTAATGATTATAGGTTGAATTTGATATTTTGTTTTTTGTGACTAAAATAGCTTATTTTATTTTTTGTGACTATTTTAACCAAAAAAACCTAACTTTTTTCTTCCCAAACAGAGCCTTAGTAAAATAATCCACACTTTAACTCTCCATCTCTACTTTTGTCACCTCTATAAATAACATTACATCTCCTCCTCCATTCCTCACTCCCACACACATTTCAACTAACTGAACTCAACTCAACTCATATAGTCTTGACTCATATTGTATATATATTCGAACCCACTTCGTACACTTGATTACTAGCTAGGTAGTAGTGTTAAAATGCATTATCAAACAGGGTCGTCATGGGGGGTTTCATATTTGGCAGCAGCAAGGAGTGTGGTGGTGGTGAATAGTGGTGGTGGTGGAGATCCGCTGGAGCGCATCGAGAGGTTGGCGTCAGGGAACGCGGTTGTGATATTCAGCATAAGCAGTTGTTGCATGTGTCACGCTATCAAGAGGCTCTTTTGCGGCATGGGGGTCAATCCTACGGTTTATGAGCTAGACCAGGACCCCAGAGGCAAAGAAATGGAGAAGTCACTCAAGAGGCTTATTGTCGGAAGCACCAGTTCTTCTTCTTCGTTGTCGGGTGTCCCAGTCGTGTTCATCGGAGGCAAACTGGTGGGTGACATGGACAGGGTCATGGCTTCTCATATCACTGGCACTCTCGTCCCACTTCTCAAGGCCGCCGGAGCTCTCTGGCTTTGAGAGAGAAAGAGAGACAACTTACTACTACAGACTATACCACTACTATACTACTACAGTAAAAGATATTTTTGGAGAGAGAAATGTTAGAGATTATGAAAATTTTGTCATGAAAAGGATCATGAAAAATTTGTGACCCTTAGATTACCTTGATTAGTGTGTGGTGCTTTATTGTAAGTGTAATCCAAAGGTCACAAATCTTTCATGAACATTTTCATGAAAGACTTTTCATGATACCCAACATTACTGTTTTGGAGAAGAGGAAGAGGAGTGGTTTTCTGGCTCTGCTATTTTGGATGCCATTTAGTTTCAGTTTTTAAAAAATTTCCTTTTTGGTTTTTTTTATATTTTTATATTTTTACTAATTTTTAAAAATATTTTAAATAATTGTTTTAATTTTTAAACACACTTAACATAAATATATATAAAAAGTACAATATTTGTGAATTTTTTTTTAAAAAAAATTCGCTAAATACCAAAAATACAAAAAATAAAATAAAATAAAATAAAATTCAGTATGTTTTGTGTATTTATTAATTTTTAAAATATTTTTTCATAAATATTTTACTATTTAGATATATCTAAGTAAGGTTTATCTAAAAAAATTTAAAAAATTATTTAAAATTTTAAAAATATTCACTAAAAATAAAAAAATATGAAAAATAAAAACTCAATTTCCAGAAGACTGAAACTAAATACACTAACTATTGTCTGTCTATGAACCAAAGTCTTTTTTTTGTTTTTTTTTTGTTTGAATGTTTGTTAGCCTTTGTTTTGTCTGTGTTTTTGGTTGAGATGGGTTTGTTAATTTGGGTCACAGACAGAAATGTAATATGCTCCCTCCTCTGAACCTCCAATGGAATATCTTATGCTCCTAAGATATTTTATGTATTCTAAATCCTAGCCACATTTAACTATATATATGTACAGAAAAAAAAAAAAACACAAAACAAATTGGGACTATTTCTACTCCTTTACTATTATTAGTATTTCCCGGTGGTTTAGCTTTTTCAATATTCAAGAGAGAATGTGATAATTTGGGAAGTAGTTAAAAGTTAACTTTTATTTTAATTTATTTTGAGTTATATTACTTTTTATATTTTTTATACACAAAAGAGTAAACAAATATAAAAAAAAAAACTAAAAAAATTAATTTTTAACCAACTTTTTAAATCACCTCTATATAATATACCACACTTAACTAAATTTTAAGAAAGAAAGAAGTTGGAAAACTATGAAGACGTTAACGTTTTGTTGGGTTAACTTTTTCCTATTACTAATTATATATGATGGTACTATATGTATTAATTAATATATCAATTAGTATATTAAAATATATTATAATATTATTTTTTAAAATTTTTAAAATTATACAAAATCATTTATTAATATACTAATTAATTGTATATTTTTTTAAAAACTGCGTGAGGTTTGCCTCCGATTGGCTCTTGGGTCTTGGTGGGTTGACCACATTGATGATTCAAATGATTATTAGATTTTAAAATTCTTCTAGAAAACTCTTGATGAAAAAACAGGCAATCATCACCATTTAATCAAATTATATTTACTATATATATATATATATATATAAAGAGACTATTTTTAATATAAATATTATTTGATAATACGTCTACACTAATCTAATCACTACTACTAGAAATTTCTTTTTTGTGACTAAAGCTTTAGGATTTTTTATTAGCCGGTCCTACCTTTTACACTTATTCCCTTTTTAATCCTGAGTGTTGCTCTTGTACATCAACAGGTCCTGAGCCTTTTTTTTTTTGGTACCATTTTACCATTTCCCTGTTTTGGCGCGTTTGTGTTTGGATTTTCCATTAAAATATTGTGTTGTGAGTATGGATTTGTGATTTGGATTTGTGTGGAACTTCACGATTTGCTAATGTATTATTGTAGAGCTTTGTGATTTGTGATTTCGCGCTTGGTGTATCTTTGCGATTTTTGATTTGCGATTGCATGCTTGGTTAATCTTCCTATTTGCGATTTCGCGCTTGGTGTATCTTCGCGATTTGTGATTTGCGATTGCGTGCTTGATGAATCTTCCTATTTGCGATTTCGCATTTGGTGTATAGTTACATTTTCTGATTTGCGATATTGTGGAGTTAGGTCGACTGGTATGTTTGATTTTGATTTCAATTTCAATGTTTTGGTTCTTTTTAGTTTGAGTTTGAGTTTGTGATTTTGATTTTGTGGTGATATTGTTGTTACTTTGTTGTTTCTATTGTGATTGAATTTGTATTTTGATCATTATATTGAAAGATTTGAGATATGTATATGTAAAGAATTTTAGATTTTTCTATTTTTTTTTGTTACAAAATTGTTTTGATTGAACACAGGTGCTGGTTTGTTATTTTATATAGTGATAATTTTATCACTGAGTATTTTGGGGTGTTGTTGGATTAACTTTTTCAACAGTGATAAATTCATCAGTGAGTATGGGAATAGGAGATGAAAAGGTTGCATAATGTAATGGTAAGATTCAAATTGAGTTACCATGTCTAATAAGTGTAAGCCTTATTCACTGTTCTTAGTCTATAGTGGTGTTAACTGTTAAAGTTATCAGTGTTGATTTTTAGATGTGTATGAGTTGGTTGATAATTTTATCACTGTATTTGATTTTGTTTTACGATGTTTGAGTTGTTTGTTGAAATATAATTATTGTTTGTTGCAGGATTTATAGTGATGGAGAATTGTTTGTTTCTTATGTGCAAGTTTAGAAGTGCGACATTGGTTATCAAGTATAATGATGGATTTAATTTCAAGGATTTAGTATATAAATTGTGTGCAAAGTGGAGTGAGTTAGTTGGTAGTTCTTTGAATATATCGTATTCAATGCCTGGACATTCTTGTTGTGGTCTACAAAGTGAAGAGGATTTAGAGGTTATGGTTGGACTTGCACTTTCTTATGATATTCAATACACATTGTATTGATGTTTTTGTAAAGTGTTGTTCTTTGGATGAAGGTTATATGATTTGTGATGGTGAAGCTAGTTGTAGTTGTAGTAGTGTTATTTGTGAAATTGATTTTTTGCCTTCATTTTATTCAAATCAACGGAAACCTTTGCTCTCCAATAGATGGGTTAATTTTATGAAAGGAGTGGGGCAAAGGTTTGCTCAAGGAGTTGTTGAATTTCGAGATGCGTTGTCAAAGTATTCTATTCATTCCGGTTTCGATTTTGATTTTGTTAAGAATGATCAGGATCGTGTCACTATTCATTGTAAGAGAAGGGCTGATTTGGGATGTTTATGGAGTGTGCATGCTAGAGTAGAAAATTATAGTAAAGCTTTTGTTATTTAACAATTTGATGATGTTCATACTTATGGATCTTCTTTTCGTATAGTTAAACATGCTAGGATGACTTCAAGTATGATTGAGGGGCTAATTTCAAGTGATATTCGTAATAAGGCTTTGACATCGGTTAGTGGGGTGGTTTGTGATTTCAAGGACTATTATGGAACAGAGGTTTCTTGTCGGCGAGCTTGGATGGGTGTTGAAAAAGCAAGAGGTCTTGTTTTTGGTGACTATTCATCATCATTTGACGATCTTCGTTGGTATGTTGATGTCGCTAATGACTGTAATCCAGGGAGTGTTTTTGATATGGAATTTGATGTTGATAGTAAAGGAAGGCATTTCAAATGCTTGTTTTTCACTTTTGAGGCATGTATTCACGGTTTCAAGTATTGTCGACCTGTGTTGATGCTTGATGGAACTTTCTTGAAAGGAAGACGCAAATATTGTTTATTGGTTGCTATGGTAAAAGACGGTAACCAAGGTATATTCTGTGTCTATTTGTTATTATTATTAAAACAGTGATAATTTTATCATTTTTATTACTAGAGAGTGTTGATTATTGAGTATGGTCAATCTATTACTGATAAATTTATACTGTATACTTTTGTTAAATTTTTATATTTATACAGTGATAAATTTATTATTCATTGATTTTATATATGCTGCTATTGAATTTTTGTAGTTATACAGTGATAAATTTATCTATGGCTGGTGCTATATGTTATATACTTTGTGTTTTGATTTTCTTTATGTAATTTTTTTTATTTGTTATTGATAACGTGTGTCTATATTTTATTTGTAGGTTTATATCTGTTATATTTTTCCATTGTTGATAGTGAAAGTTATGACAGTTGGCATTGGTTCTTGTCAAAGTTATTTATTATTTTGACTCCGGGAAGGGATATTGTGCTTGTTATGATCGGCATGGAGGTTTGCTGAAAGCTTTAGCTGAGGTCTTTCCGTTTTCTTCTCATTCTTTTTGTCTAATGCATTTGAAGACAAACTTGAAGACTTATTTGTCAGTGAAGAGTCGTGAATCTAAAGAGTATTTGCTTACTCTTTTTAGTAGATGTGCATATGCTTCTACTATTGAGTTGTTTAATGAGCTATTTGAAGAATTTAAGGGTCGCTGTGGTCGTAGTGTTGAGAAGTTTCTTGAGGATTTGCCTAATGAGTGTTGGTGTAACGCTTATTTTCAAGGCAAGAGGTATGGTGAAATGTACACAAATACTGCGGAATCTTTTAATTCATGGATTAGGGATGAACGCCATTTGTTTTCAACTAGTCTTGTTGATGTTATACGGGTGAAACTATTGGAGCAATTTTCAAGAAGGAGAGAAGTTGGTAATAAGTGGAATCGTATTGTTTGTCCTTTTGCAGAGAAAAAGTTGGAAGAAGCTTTTAATGATACAAAAGCACGGATAGTTAAGAAATGTAGCGATGACATTTATGAAATCCAATTGGATCATTCAGTTATGGTTGATATTGGGAAACGTTCTTGTTCTTGTCGATTATGGGAAATTGATTCTTTTCCTTGCAAACATGGTTTTTGTGCTATAAAGAGGAGTAGGAAGGATCTGAATTGTTTTCTTGATGATTACTATCGTGTTAGTAGTTATTGTGATTCTTATTCACATTCTATCTATCCAGTTCCTAGTATATGGAAGCCAAATGTAGTTGTTGATGATGACGTTGTTTTATCTCCTCTTTGTAAGAGACCAGCTAGACGTCCAAGAACAGAGAGAATACCTTCTAAGGGCAAAATCAAGAGAATTAGGTACAGTAGGTGTGGAAAGATGGGAACTCATAATCAGAAGACATGTAAAGAAGCTTTGCTTTAGTTGTATTGATTTTAATTGAATTACTTTGTTGAGAGTTGAGAGGTGTTACTTGCATTGAATGATTGAGTATTTTTGGAAAGATGTATCATTTTGGTACTTGCATTGAATGATTGAGGAATTTGTTGAACATAAATTATATTTTTTGCTGATATTTTTATAGGATTAAGTTTCACAGATTTATATTATTTGATTTGGGTTAAATGTAGATGCTGTTTTTGGTGTTTTATACAGTGATAAATTTATCACT